CCTCCAACCTAAGAGCGATGGCCTCCCAATTACTAGCGATGCCCTCCAACCTATTAGCAATTCTTTCCCAAAAGTGCATTTCTTGTCTTTGGAGCTCCGTCAAGAGGACGATTCTGGGCCCCCAGGCCGTCACCTGACTTGCATGATCTGTAGAGCTCAGTGTCCTAAAGAGGTGCCGCAAAGCAGAGACGAACCAGCAAACAGACTACAAAATTATCTACATAGAACTGATAGATTGTGATCGTTACTGAAGATATTGCTCGAATGTCGTTTGTTGTCTCTGCGAGTGGATGGTTCTCTCATCTAACTTTGAGAAGTCTTGTAAACCTCCAGGGAGGTCCTCCAGAAGTGGCTGCTTAACACAAGTTGTTCTATATAATCCAAGTCATTCGCGGTCAAGTATCCTGGAATATCTGAGATTTCCGCCTAAAGTCCTCCTGAAGTCGGCTGATCTGCCCCTCCAGCGCCTTGAGCGGCTTTGACTCGGATCTAGTGTCCCCACTTGCAACTGAAACCTTTCACCTCAGGCCACCTTCCAGTTACGCACAAATCTACCGCCACACCTCATGCCCGTAACTGCGCTAAAAGTCCCAAGGGAACAACCAGGGATCCTCTTCGACGCAAAGCATGACGTAGATTTACGGTCAATTTCAATTCTGTTGGAGAGAGTAAGAATGCTAGTAGTAGAAATGCCGACTGTTACTAGTAGCGATGCCCTTGCTCCTAGTAGCGTTCTTGTTCCTAGTAGTAAGGCCAGGAGCGCCCCTAGTAGCGTCCTTGCTCCTAGTAGCGATGCCAGGAGCCCCCAGCAAGTTCCGAAGGGGCCATGGTGGCCATGGATTTACCACATGTTCCACCCAGGACCCAGACCATCTGCCGCATCTCATACTTGACGAAGGTGTGTCACAATGTCATGTCTCTATGCTGGCCTAAACTGTGAACCAAAGGTCCATGTCTCTATGCAACCGGTGTAAAGACCACAACTTCGAAACCACTCGTCACCTGAGTCATCGCACCCGATGGTCCTCCTGCCAGGACAAGTGGAGGTCTCCCAGCCGAGCATTCCTCGGAGCGGCTTCGCGCGAAATGAGATGCTTTCTAGAGCAATGGCCTCCAACCTTAAGAGCAATGGCTTCCAACCTTAAGAGCAATCGCTTCCAACCTAAGAGCAATGGCTTCCAACCTAAGAGCAATGGCCTTCAACCTAGGAGCAATGGCCTTCAACCTAGGAGCAATGGCCTCCAACCTAAGAGCAATGGCTTCCAACAATGGCTTCCAACCTAAGAGCAATGGCCTCCAACCTAGGAGCAATGGCCTCCAACCTAAGAGCAATGGCTTCCAACCAAGAGCAATGGCTTCCAACCTAAGAGCAATGGCCTCCAACCTAAGAGCAATG